AAGTGTCTTGAACACCATTGTTCTATATATGCTGTCCAGTTTTTCAGATGGGAAGGTAATTTTAGTTCCTGTTTTGGAAGAAATGTCAAGGTTGACATCATGATCTATGGCCTGAAAAAGTCCAAGTTTAACCTTGCCATTTCCTAAGGTGGAGAAGACTGTGGGAAGAACAGGTTTGGTGGTAGTGGGAGTGGTGGGAAAGTCAGGCTAAGTTTGAAGAGCCTGTTGGATATCGGAGTAATTGATGTTAGAGAGGCAGCTGTAATCAGCAAGCTCCAGTCAGAGGAGAGGCCTGGGCAGGAGATACACATCTGTGTGTATCAATGTGAAGATGGTATTTACAGCCATGATACTGGATGAGATCCCCAAGGAAGTATAGTTAGAGTATTGGATTAATCCTATTTTGTATTTTCTGTATTTTCTGGTGCTTTGACATCTTGGTTTTGCTGGCGTTGGAGGGACTGCTGCTCCCAGGGTCAACTAACTCTTAGAGATAGGTAGCAGCTCTCTTGGGAGTATGCTTTTTTTCTTTTGAGATGGAGTCTCACTCTGTCATCCAGGCTGGAGTATAGTGGTGTGATCTTGGTTCATTACAACCTCTGCCTCCCGGGTTCAAGCGATTCCTGTGCCTCAGGCTCCTGAGTAGCTGGGATCACAGGTGCCTGCCTCCACACCCAGCTAATTTTTTTGTATTTTTAGTAGAGGCAGGGTTTCACCATGTTGGCCAAGCTGGTCTTGGACTCCTGACCTCAGGTGATCCACCTGCATTGGCCCCCCAAAGTGCTGGGATTACAGGCGTGAGCCACCCACTCAGGGGAGTGTGCTTTTCATATGCAAATCAACCAATTCAGAGCCCATACCTCACAACCACCTACTTCATCAGGCTCTTTTACTCTGTACTACTATGCTTCTGCCCTAATTCCCCCATCATTAGGTAGTAGACAACTAGGGACAGCTCCTATGCCCCAGAGCCCAATGAAATTATTCAAAGTAACCAGTCCTATCCTGTTTACCCTGCCTTGACCATTCCTTCACATGGAATAGCAGCAAAGGCTCTTGTCCACATTTTCCTGCTTTCCCCCTCTGCCTTTGATTCTGGTGCTTCTTTCCCCACGTGGCCTGGCATGGCATGCCATCATGCTGTCTATTTCTAGAGACTTGTCAGTAAAGGCTTCTGCTTTCGTGGTAATCATTTCTGTGTTTGTGTGTCTTACCGCATGTGATTGAAACAAATCCCAATACCCTTGTAGTAAGTATAGAAGTACCAGCTCTGGCTAAATGGATACGTATATTACCTCACCTTATTTAATCTTCATGGCAGCCCCATGAGGTGTAGGTACTATTATTATCTTACTTTTATAGATGAAAAAACTGAAGTAGGGAAAGGTTACGTAATTTGCCCAAGTCCACTAGCTTCTGTGTGGTAAAGTTGGGATGTAGCCTGAGACACTCTGAAGTCCTGTGTTCTTAACTACAGAACTATCCCATGTGTGGTCAGGGTGGGGTTCAGTCTGAGGTTAAATTCTTTTAATATGTTTACAAACTGTACCTCGTTTTTTTCCCCTGAGACATGATGAGCTTTACTTTGTTGTCTAAATGACAACGTAAAGGTTAACATCTGGAAAAGAGAACTTGCAGACTGTGGGCCTGATTTCTTGGGGATGAGGAGTTACAGTTTCATTTTTCTGATGGACAGCACACATGTGTGCCGTGGGACCCTGCCAGATTAGCAAAGAGATGCTGGATTCTCTCTGATCAAAACTGGTCCAGTCTGCGCGCAGAATCTTGTCCATTTAAAGCTGAAAAAAATGATCAGCTGGACTTTCCATTCTCAGAAGATGCTGAAAAGGGATGATAAAAAAATTTCCCACATTATCATAATATTTATTATTCATAAGAAATTTGGGAAATACAGGTCAGGCGTAGTGGCTCACACCTGTAATCCCAGCACTTTGGGAGGCCAAGGCGGGTGGATCACTTGAGCTCAGGAGTTCGATACTAGCCTGGGCAACATGGTGAAAAACCCCTTCTCTACTAAAAATACAAAAATTAGCCAGACATGGTGGTGGGCCTCTGTAGTCCCAGCTACTTGGGAGGCTGAGGCAGGAGAAGAACTTGAACTCGGGAGGCAGAGGCTACTGTGAGCCGAGATCACGCCACTGCACTCCAGCCTGGGCGACAGAATGAGATTCTGTGTCCAGAAAAAAGAAATTTGGGAAATACAGAAAACCTATATAGAAGAAAAAAGTACTCTTATAATTTCACACCCCAGAGATACCACTGTTAACATTTCATTCCTTTGGCGCTTAAGTTTCTGACTAGAAGAATTAATCAAAGGTCAGTTTGGGGTCTGTCGCCTTCTCTTTCTGTGTCTGCCTGTCTCTCTGTGTGTGGGGTGTGTATGTATGACTATCGGATGGTCTCGTTCCTCTCTGTCACTTACACGACCCTAAGCCCCATTGGAGATATTGCCCAGTTCTCATGGGGAGCCCCATGGATTCAGTCTGACATTGATAGCTTTCTGCCTAGCTTGGGGACTAGGGCCCCTGCTCTTGGGGCTTTAGATGTGGGTAAAGGGATTGCTTTGACTCCATCTTGCCTAATCAATAACTAATCAACACTGAGTTGATTTTATTAGCTATTCATTGCCTCCCTCCCAAACCCCAAACCAAGCTGGCTATGACAATGCTTTTCACTAATATGAGGCAGATTAAAACTCATTACATAATCCTAGCGCTTTGGGAGGGCAAGGTGGGCAGATTACTTGAGGTCAGGAGTTCAAGACCAGCCTGGCCAACATAGTGAAACCTCATCTCTGCTAAAAATACAAAAATTGGCTGGGCGTGGTGGTGCGTGGCTAAAATTAGTTAGGAGGCTGAGGCAGGAGAATAGCTTGTATCTGGGAGACAGAGGTTGCAATGAGCTGAGACTGCACTATTGCACTGTAGCCTAGGTGTCTCAAAAAAAAAAAAAAAAGAAAAAGAAAAAGAAAAAATGTCTCACAAAGCTCGAAGTGGACAGGTTGCCTGCGGGCCTAAGGATGGCCTGGTAGTGCCTGGAGTGTGAGACATCCCCTCTGCTGTGGCAGGAGGTGGGCGGATGGGCCCTTTGGCTGCTGGGTTGAGGGTGTTCAGGGCTGCAGCAGTCTCTTCTGGGCAGCAGCAGTCTGGGCGTGGTGGCTCATGACGGTAATCCCAGCACTTTGGGAGGCCGAGGTGGGTGGATCGCTTGAGCCTGGGAGATGGGGACTACTGTGAGCCATGATTATGCCACTGCACTCCACTCTGGGAGACACAGCGAGACCCTTTCTCAAAAAAAAATTGTGCAAATTTATGGAGTACGTGGGAAATTCTTACACATTTATAATGTGTGGTGATTAAGTCAGGGTATTTAGGGTAGCTATCACCTGAGTATAATACAGTTTTCTAAATATAGTCATTCTCCTCTGCTATCAAACATTGAATTTATCCCTTCAAGTTTACTTTATGTTTGTACCCTTTAATCCACTTCTCTTCATCCTCGCCCTTCCCTCCACCCATATTTCCTAGTTTGTTATCTGTTTTTCCACTCTACCTCCAATATCACATGTTCTCTCTTATATGTGGGAGCTAAAACAAAAACAAAAACAAAAAACTCCTCTTAATTTCTAAATTTCCTGTGTGATTCACTTGGCAACTAATTATATAGGATCTTTGAACACTTCTTCCACCTTTGTTGTCAACTGTTATTTAACTCCTCACATGATTTTATGGCCCCCAATATGTGTTAATTACATCAGCATCCTACGTGGCACTGAAAAGTGTAAGTCCATCCTCGTGGTTCACTCTCTTGGTTGACTGAGTTGGGAGAAGGCAGGTGCCAGGTCCCCACAGAGTACTGGGGTCCCTTGTCTTCCGCATGTGCCCATGGCCTCATCCTGCCTCAGAGGCTTAGCTCTTAGAAGGTAGGACTCTTATAGTACCAAGGCCCTCAGTTGGGCTGCAGAGATGACTGTGGATATGCAGCCTGGGGGCAGATGGGGCCACCTTCCAACTCTGGAAGGACCGGTGAGCACCCAGATGTGAATTAAGGCTGCTCTCTGTCCTAGACAACCTGCCCAGATGCCTTCTTCACGTGCCTCATACCCCTCACTACAGTGACTCCTCTAGTTAATAAGAGACCTCTGCTAAAGTTTGCTGCACCAAAGAACCCTAGATTTTGGAG